TCCAGTGTATCAAATCGCAAATCTCCACACCAATTTCCTCCTTGAATCATCCAACATATCATTAATCCGGAACATCGATTTTCCCAAACATACTTCTGGACAGTTGAATCTGTCGGAGCATACAACATCAGGAAAAACGCAATAAACCATTTGATTATTCTTCTAATCCAATTTCACCACAATGAAATCAGCAATTTTAACATCTTACCAACGACAACCAAAACAAAAACATCAAGATCACTAATCAATTGAAATTCATAACCTGCCTTATACACCAACATTGAGCATTTTGCTTTTCATGAAAATATCATCGAAATAATGTCACATGAAGAACAACAAATAAGAATGGCCCATAAAGTTAATTCTAAAAACAATTTCAATTGGAGATACTCAAATCGATTGTTTAGATGATTCAACCCATAATAATCCATCTAAAATAACATTCAATTTCTGTGTAAAATATGGAAAAAACTCAAGAACACAAAGAATGAGAAAAATCCTAAAACTGGATTAAAAATGAACATATTCAATCCAAAAGAAGAAATCGATTGATGATACCGGAGCACAAATACCTACAAAGGCTACAGTCGATTATCAATTTAGGAACGAGGGGATGCTATTTTCTTTTGTTACCACTAAAAAATACAAATTGGGGAGGTGCAGATTGTAGTGAATGATGTGTGGGAATGGATCTGTTAGAGAGAGAGAGAGAGAGAGAGAGAGAGAGAGAGAGAGAGACCATTCTAATGCTTCTGGATCTTTTGTTACCTTTCCTCCTCTGCTGGTGAACGACCTGCCCACCAAATTCCATCATAATGCTTGCTTCAAGTATGCCATCTTCGCCGCTAGGCATAAACTCTCCATACCCATTGAGGGAGCTTGAGTGACCATTCTAGAAAGATTTGGACCCGAATCAAGATTTAAATTTTCTGGGTCTTTTCGTACCTTTCGATGTTCTTTTTGGAACCTGAATCTGTGATACTTGTCTCCCCAATGAAGATGATTTGGGGTTTTATTTCTTTTGGTGTTTGGGGTTTCAGTATTTAAAATCTCTCTAATTTTCGCTAATCCTACTGCAACATGAGGATAAAGAAATATGTAGAGGAAATATGAAGAAGATGAAGAAAAAAGTGTCCATGTGGGTATACGATGGAGAGAGAGAGGGTTTTTTACTAATTTTTAATTATTTAAATAGATAAAGAATAAAAGAAAAATAAAAAATAAATACATAAGGGTATTACAGTAATTTCAATTTTCAGAGGGACTAAAACAACATAGAAAACCACTTGGGTTGTGGTGACTTGGTAAGGCATGTGGAAGATATGGTGGATAACCTATTGACCCATG